ACAGGCAGACACTTACACACACACAGTTACAGGCAGACAGTCACACACACACACACACACACACAAATAGCCACAGGCAGTCATACACACACAGACACAGTTACAGGCAGGCAGACACACACACACAGTTACAGGCAGACAGTTATACACACACAGGCAGGCAGTCACATACACACACACACACTCTTTTACTTACAGACAGTGTGGGCTGGAGGAGGAGTGGATTCACTGAAGTCCTTCCCTGAAGCCTGTTAGTTGGAGAAGCAGGAATTCCTTCTTGCTGCACCTCCATCTGCAGCAGTAACAGAAGCGAGTAAGGGCCCTGTTAAGCTCTGGTTTGGCTCCGCCCCTGACTTTTACTAGCCCCACCCCCACTTTCATTACATGCAGCCAGTTCAACTGGTAATTGCTCTCCCTCTCCAGCCCCCAGACTAGGGTCATAGCACCCCCTTATATGGTGGCACTCGGGGCGGACCGCCCACCCCCCAATGCCCGCCTCCCCTTAATACACCACTGCCACTTGCTGTACTATACAGAGCACTTTTTTCTAGCACTTTTCATGGTTTGGGGGAAACATCTGTGTGTTTTACGTACTGTGCCACATGCAAGGCTAGGGTTTCAAAACAACTGATTTCTTTTTAAATAAAACAATACTTCAGTAATAATTATCAATCCCTAGATGATAGAATTTATTCAAGGGAAGAAGCAGATCCCCTTACAATCTAGCCATTTGTACCCACAGAATCAAGGCATCCTGGTGAGTCAAGACGGCTATATTTCCCTTGATAAATGCAAAATGCCCAGGTGTAACCAATAGTGGATTTGCTAAATTTGTAAAATGTAATCCCATACGATGAGCACTTTGAGGGGGTACATTGATGAAATTCAAAGGAAGATTGTTTTTCTATGCCGTCCTTAAGGAACCTGCTCTAAACGCCGGAGGTCGGCACAGAATGCCCAAACCGTCCTTTCTACTTATCCCCCTCCGTCCTCTTCGGCCCCCCTGGGCCATGTGATCGCGAGGTCCTTCCGAGTCCAAGGCATTGCCAGCAGGTAATGACAGGTACTCCCCCTGCTGTCTGAAAAAAAAAAAAAAGTTTAAAACAGTGTAAAATTAAATAATATATACTTAGATCATATATATATATTAATTATATATATGATCTAAGTATATATATGCACATATACACACATGAGATTAGGTGTACACTCAGTATTGGAAATTAATGATAAAAACCACCACTGGTGTGCATATGGAGCGCTTACAAATTTGTTGACTCACCCATATGGGTTAACATACATATGTATGGAAAACGTGACTCATAGCGATATATCTGAAACAAATGTAAATGCAAGAAATAGTGCAGATAACGTTTTCAATAAGTGCAATGAGGGAATATTCTATATGGTCTCACTCACATGTAGCAGAGCCCTATAGGATAGGCTCAGATCTCAATGGCCTGCGTGTGCTTATGGTGACACAGTACCCAATCGGTCCTCTAGGCGTCTGGAGATCCTTATGCATACATGAGAGAGAGAGAGAGAGAGAACAAGGGGAAGAGGAGAACCCCTAGTGCGGTCAATCCCAATGTACAATGTCAAATAGTGCAGAAAAAGTGGCTTCTCACCTGATGTGGAGCCCTATACCTGGCTCCTGGTGTGTAGGTGTCTGTGCCTTTAAGGGGGCAACTACCCTTCTTTAAGCAGCAACAATGGAGGGTGGATTCCAAATATAAAACAAAATTTATTAAATAAAGTAGTAAAAACTTACAAGTAAAATATAAACAAAATTGTGAGAAATTATAAAATGTGGAATCTTCAATCCTCCAGCCGAAACATGTTTCACTGTACCCAGACAGCTTTTTCAATCGGTAATATAGTTGCTGCTGTTACTTGTTTAAATACTTTGTACTTCCTCCTGTGTGGTCCTTCAAACTTCCCTCCCTCCAATCCGCTGGCGTCCTTTTTCATGAACAGCTGTGCTGTGTTAGTAATGAGTATGCTCCGGTCTCGGAACAAGTCATGTGACCCGAAGCATCACGTGCCGCATCACAAATTGGGCGTGTTTTCAATGTAGGGCTCACAGTTCCATATCGTCCATTTTTAAGTTGGGCAAAATGCCCTTCCTTCAACCAAGTCCGTTCCTATTTACAAGCCAGGTGCTCAATTTGAGCGATATATAAACGAAAAAATGAAGGGAGAAAGGGGGATAGTATTATTGTATATTGCTTACAAGTTAATTCATAAAATTTACATATCAAAAAAAATAAAAACATCTAATGTTTTTCATTCAAAGTGACAGTGCATGCATAAAGATAGGTGGTGAATAGGAGTGTGCTCTTTTAGGAGAAATGCTGATTATTATTGAATAGGTCTCAATTGTGTCAGCAGCTTATCTTCAATGATGATATCAATATTAAAATATATATATAAAAAAACATATAAATATATAGTAGGTTCCTAGCTGGTCTCCCATACAAGTACTAACCAGGCCTAAGCCTGGATAGCTTCTGAGATCTGACGAGATCAGGCATTTTCAGACTGGTATGGCCATAGAGCAAATATTTAAAATGTATGAAACATACTAATAAAAAAATAATTTAAGTTAAAAAATGCCATAACTCAAAATCATCATTGAGACCATTAGGCTGCATGGTATTCAGGTTAAAAATCCATTGCATCTCCCTTTGGCCTAATTTTTTAATAAAATCTCCCCCTCTCCAATCGGGTGATACCCTCTGAATTGCATGGAATTCTAACTGGGTGGGATCGCTATTATGTTTATTTTTAAAATGTAAGGAAACACTGTGCTTTTCATAGTTGTTCCTAATGTTCCTAATGTGTTCCTGTACTCTAATGTGCAACTTTCTTTTGGTGCGCCCTACATATACAACTCCACATGGGCATATCAAGAGATAAATAACTCTTGTGGACTGACAAGTAATTAGCTCGTTGATCTTAAACATGACTTTTTTATTTTGAGGGTGTGAGAATTCTTTTACTAGTCTCTTCTTACTTTTTGAGTTCTTGCACGCACCACAGTGTCCACAACCATAAAACCCTTTTGTTTCGTTGAAAAAGTCCCTATTACATCTTTTTAGGGGTATATGGTTAGATGTTAAAGTGTTTCTTAAATCCTTTACTCCTCTATAAACAATCTTAGGCTTCTCCGGAAGAATACTATTAAGGAGGGGGTCATTTCTTAAAATTGGCCAATACTTTGAAACTATTTTTCTAAATTCTTTACTTTTACAGTTAAAGTCACATATAAGTCCTATTGTTTGTGGTTCAACTTTATTTTTAGTGTTATATTTAATTAGATCTTTTCTGTCCTTTATTTTGACTTCTTCAAGGGCTTTCCCCAACAATGTCTCGTTATATCCCTTTTCTCTAAAATCTTTCAGAATTTTGTGGGATTGTTCTTGGAATTTACATTCCTCCGTGCAATTCCTCCTTATCCTGAGCAGTTGCGCTTTGGGTGCATTCAGCAACCATGGGGAGAAATGGCAGCTATTCTCCCCAATGTAGCTGTTAACATCCACAGGTTTGAAAAAAGTACATGTCTTCAAACATGCATCCTCAACATAAATTTGGAGGTCCAGAAATTCCACTAGAATCTTGCTATAATTCGAGACTAATTTAATTCCCCAATCGTTATTATTCAGATGGTCCAAAAAAGATATCAGGGATGTCTCGTCCCCTTGCCAAATGAAAAATATGTCGTCTATGTAATGGCGATAGGCAACGAGGTTCGCGCTCCAGCTACCATCTTGGTAAATAAATTCTTGTTCCCACAAAGCCATGAATAAATTTGCATAGCTTGGCGCGAACCTCGTGCCCATCGCAGTTCCAGATATCTGTAAGTAGAAAAGATCGTTAAACCAAAAATAATTGTTATTCAGTATCCATCTGATACTTTTAACTAAAAAATCAATTTGTCCACTTGGAAATGTTCCTGACTGCTGTAAAAAATGTTCTGTCGCTTGACACCCTTTATCGTGAGAAATAATGGTGTACAGCGAACTAACGTCAGCTGTCACCAAAAAGCTATTTTCCTTCCACTTATGATCTGTTAAAACTTGGAGGATATTGGAGGTGTCCTTCAGGTAACTAGGACATTTGGTAACCACTGGTTGGAGACACCTATCTACGTACTGGGATAGTCTGCTGGAAATAGACCCAATCCCAGATACAATAGGTCTCCCTGGAGGTTTTATCCTATCTTTATGGATTTTGGGGAGGTGGTAAAAGACCGGTATTATAGGTTGTGTCATGTTTAGAAACGCATATTCTTTTTCATTTAGAATGTTATGTTCTTTTCCCTCCTCTATGAGAGTGTCATATGTGATTTTTATATCGCTAGTTGGATCTTTCGTCAAGATTCTATATGTCTTGTCGTCTCCTAAGAGTCTAAGGGCTTCTTTTACATAGTCTTCGCTGTCCAAAATGACTATACCCCCACCCTTATCTGCTGGTTTAATTACCAATGAATTGTCCTGCCTTAATTCCTTCAATGCCTGTCTTTCCCCATAATTAAGGTTGAATTGTTTTTGATTTGGTTTTTTAATCTTTTCTATATCCTTCATCACCATCTTTTCAAAGGTTGACATCTCTTCTGAGATACAGAACCTAGGATAGAATGAAGATTTTGCTTTAAGTTCAGTGTGCACAGCCTCTGACCTTTCTATGGGTACTTCTGGCCTAGTGATTGGATTTTTTAGGAAGAATTTTTTCAAACACATTTTCCTTTTGAATCTATTAAGATCTACATAGATACTGAACTTATCAAGTGCTTTAGTGGGCTCAAATTTAAGTCCCTTCTCAAGTAGATTTATTTGGGGATTAGTAAGTGTTTTTGATGATAAATTAAAAATACCTTTTCCCTTTATTCTCTGACTTTTTTTCCTTTTTTGTAAAAGAATTCCTCCTCTAGTTCCCCGTCCTCTATACTCCGTCCTCTTTTTCCTGGGGTTCCCCAGCCTAGTCTGTTGTCCTTGTACCTGCCCTTCATGTAGTCTCCACAAAAATCCTCCTCTTTGTGTTGAGTGTTGAGGGCATTAAATCTGTTATAAGTAGGGATTTTTTTCTTTTCATCCCAATCAGTTCTATTATTTATCCCCCTTGGTATTCTTTCTACCGGATGCTGATCGCTCCTACTAGTCTGTATTTTCCTCCTTACCACTGGTTCTGGTGATCTTTTTATCTCCCTAGAGTGCCTATCTGGTGTCCCTTTTGTATCCCTAGATACATTTCCATACCTCGTGGGGATCTGTTCTCTATGTGTGGGTATTCCCACTGGTTTTGGTGATCTCTTATCTTCCCTAAGGTTTCTATTTGGTGTTCCTCTTTTACCTCCTCTAGATAGATGTCTCCATTTAGGTGTTAGTTTTCTACGTATTGGTGTCGTAGTCTGTTTTAGTAATCTGTTAGGTCTGCTTGGGCTTCCCTCATTGCGATAATACTGTTTGATTTTATATCTATCTTCATATCTCTCGTCTCTTGTGGCATCATATCTATCTCGGTGATTATGGTTGTTCTTAAAAAAAGTTCTGACTTCACCCCTTGCGTAATCAGTTTTATCTCTTAAATATTTTCTTTTTTTAATTTCTATCACCCCTTTCTCAAGTTTCTCCAAATTTATTTGGATTTCCTCTAAGGTATTGGTGTATTGTTCTGGGGGCATGTTTATAGTCAAAAACGCTTTTAGGGTATTGATTTCAGTATCTAATTTAATCAATGTTTCCTTTCTTCTTTTTATAATGAGATCTATTAGCCCAAAGGAGAAGCTTTCCAAGAGATCCGACCACTCCTTAATGAAGTCCTCCTCCTCCTGATCGAAGGAAGGATTCTTTGCGAATCTAAGACCCCTTGGCGTGATCTCCTCCCTTCTATACTTCTCCATAGTGGCTATTTCCCACTGAATCTTAATTTCCCTCCCCAGAGTTTTTTCCAACCTGTATCTTGAGTTCCTAATTTGGTTTTTTATATCCAAATCATTACAATGGTCTGAATTTATAGGGTTTTCCTGGTCCCCAAATAGTGCATCTATGTTTTTCCCATATTTTGATCTATTTTCAAACAATGACATATTGTTTACAAGCTGCACACACACAATAAAAGAGTATTAAGAGTATTAGGAACCTACTATATATTTATATGTTTTTTATATATATATTTTAATATTGATATCATCATTGAAGATAAGCTGCTGACACAATTGAGACCTATTCAATAATAATCAGCATTTCTCCTAAAAGAGCACACTCCTATTCACCACCTATCTTTATGCATGCACTGTCACTTTGAATGAAAAACATTAGATGTTTTTATTTTTTTTGATATGTAAATTTTATGAATTAACTTGTAAGCAATATACAATAATACTATCCCCCTTTCTCCCTTCATTTTTTCGTTTATATATCGCTCAAATTGAGCACCTGGCTTGTAAATAGGAACGGACTTGGTTGAAGGAAGGGCATTTTGCCCAACTTAAAAATGGACGATATGGAACTGTGAGCCCTACATTGAAAACACGCCCAATTTGTGATGCGGCACGTGATGCTTCGGGTCACATGACTTGTTCCGAGACCGGAGCATACTCATTACTAACACAGCACAGCTGTTCATGAAAAAGGACGCCAGCGGATTGGAGGGAGGGAAGTTTGAAGGACCACACAGGAGGAAGTACAAAGTATTTAAACAAGTAACAGCAGCAACTATATTACCGATTGAAAAAGCTGTCTGGGTACAGTGAAACATGTTTCGGCTGGAGGATTGAAGATTCCACATTTTATAATTTCTCACAATTTTGTTTATATTTTACTTGTAAGTTTTTACTACTTTATTTAATAAATTTTGTTTTATATTTGGAATCCACCCTCCATTGTTGCTGCTTAAAGAAGGGTAGTTGCCCCCTTAAAGGCACAGACACCTACACACCAGGAGCCAGGTATAGGGCTCCACATCAGGTGAGAAGCCACTTTTTCTGCACTATTTGACATTGTACATTGGGATTGACCGCACTAGGGGTTCTCCTCTTCCCCTTGTCTCTCTCTCTCTCTCTCTCATGTATGCATAAGGATCTCCAGACGCCTAGAGGACCGATTGGGTACTGTGTCACCATAAGCACACGCAGGCCATTGAGATCTGAGCCTATCCTATAGGGCTCTGCTACATGTGAGTGAGACCATATAGAATATTCCCTCATTGCACTTATTGAAAACGTTATCTGCACTATTTCTTGCATTTACATTTGTTTCAGATATATCGCTATGAGTCACGTTTTCCATACATATGTATGTTAACCCATATGGGTGAGTCAACAAATTTGTAAGCGCTCCATATGCACACCAGTGGTGGTTTTTATCATTAATTTCCAATACTGAGTGTACACCTAATCTTTTTTGTACTAATCTATAGGGTAGAGAGTCCCTATTTGTGTGGTAGCTGCTGTCATTTTACTCAATTATTAACTGAAAGCGCCTTGAAAACACACAAATTCTTATTTCTGTGAACATATACACACATACACATATATACACATACACTGTCTACGTGTATTTTAATATTAATATATATATAATTAGAAATATATATTAATATCAAAATACACGTACAATGATATTGATTAAATATATATATAATTTTCATTATATATATATTTATATATAATATAAAATAAATAAATCTGTAAATACGTTAAAAAATTTAATTAAAAAATAATAAAAAATAAATGGATAAAAATATATATATATGTGTAAATTTGTTCTAACTGAATTTTAAAATTAATATATATATATTGATATCAAAATACATGTAGAACAAAATAATATATATATCTATATACATAAGTATATACGTATATATCACTCTGTATACCTATATATAAATAAAAATAATTTAAAAAATTATATACATATATATATATATATATACATTTATTTATATATACACACACACACACACACACACACACACACACATATATATATATATATATATATATATATAATTCTACATATATATTTTTGTAATAATTTTACATAATTAGGTAATTTTATTAATTACAATTAGCAGGACTAGCCTGACAACCCAGGCCAGAAGTCCAGGGAATTTAATTTGCTAGCACTATATTTAACCCTGTAACTTTCCAAGACACCATAAAACCTGTACATGGGGGGTACTGTTTTACTCGAAGACTTCGCTGAACACAAATATTAGTGTTTCAAAATAGTAACATGTATTACAATGACGATATTGTCAGTGAAAGTGATCATTTTTTGCATTTTTCACACCCAAATGGCACTTACACGGACAATATAATTGTTGTGATACGTTTTATGGTTTTGAAGCACTAATATTTGTGTTCAGTGAAGTCTCCCGAAGATAACAGTACCCCTCATGTACAGGTTTTATGGTGTTTTCAAAAAGTAGAGAGTCAAATATAAGACTTGCGTTTCAGTTTTTTCACATTGAAATTCGCCAGATTGGTTACGTTGCTTTTGAAACCGTACGGTAGCCCAGGAATGAGAATTACCGCCATAGTGGCATACCATTTGCAAAAGTAGACAACCCAAGGTATTGCAAATGGGGTATGTCCAGTCTTTTAAGTAGCCACTTAGTCACAAACACTGGCCAAAACTGACGTTCAAATTAGTTTTTTGCATTTTCAAATATTAACACTAACTTTGGCTACTAAAGTGGCTACTAAAAAAGACTGGGCATAACCCATTTGCAATACCTTGGGTTGTTTACTTTTGCAAATGGTATGCCATCATTGGGGTAATTCTCATTCCTGGGCTACCATACAGTCTCAAAGGCAATGTAACCAATCTGGTGAATTTCAATGTGAAAAAACTGAAAAATGTAACATGCTATATTTGACCCTGTAACTTCCCAAAACACCATAAAACCTCTACATAAGGGGTACTGTTTTACACGTGAGACATCGCTGAATACAAATATGTGTATTTTATTGCAGTAAAATCAAACAGTATTATGACATTCACAGTTAGAATGTCACGTAGAACTAAACATTTTTTAAAAATTCTTATTTTCTCCCATTTTTTTATATTTTATTCATATTAAATGTTTTATACCTGAATATTTGATGTTAAATGAAAGCCCTGTTTCCCCTGAATAAAATATGAAAGAGGTGAGTTACGCCTGAACAGACACATAGCGCAAATTCAAGTTTTTGTTTACGTTTTGTTTTTATCACATTTGGCTCAGTCATTAAGGGGTTAAAGCAGAAATTCATCTACGCATATCTTTTGTTCTAGGATGTAATTTGGGGAAAATGTATCAGAAAGTTCTTTGATACGGGCCTGAATTTTGTGTAACCTGTCAAAGAATGGGTTATTTCTAGGGGGTCACAGTGAATTGTCTTTAAAATGGAGGAACCACATTTTTAGTTATATTGATCCCTCTTTATAATCAATAGACTGAGCCATTTTGTAAGTTGAGTTCATATGGAGATAGGATAAGGGAATTTCTGTTTATATTACAGTTTACTGGTTTGCACTATGTATATGTGTATTTCATGTTTTCAAGATTTTCTACATTTAAGGTCTGCATGAGATTGTCTATATATATATAGTTAGCTGATGGCATACCTGGATGTGGCTGAATTTCCAGATTTCCACTTCCTTCTACTCTGGCGTGTTCTAACCTGATGTAAGACTGGAAAAAAAAAAAGATACCATCAAAGTCAAGTACAATACAGGGATAAAAAAAAGCAGCAGGGTAAAGAAAAACAAAAAGGCCAGTAGACACAGTAAGTAACATTATAAAAGAAAATCCCCCATTGGAAAGAGAGGTAGATATAGGAAATATACTCACTGAGTAGTCATGAGGGCGGGATTCGATGACTTGTTGCAGGTAGGTTTTACAGGATGGTGGAATTGTGACAGTATCCTGGGAAACTTTATGCTACACTATGTAAATCTGCCTGATGGTCTAACAGTGACAACTCAATCGACAAGCGTTTCTGGTAAAGTGTTTGTTGGTTTGCATTCTCCTCTGTAGATGCATCATGTACTGGTTCCTGTCCTTATTTGCACCTGTATAACAGAAGGAGTGTAATTGCATATATAATATATCAGTTTTCTGGTTATATATAGAAGGATATCTGACAATGGATAGATACACCTGAGAGAGCTCCAATGGGTGGAGCATAAAATGTCACGGGTGACGTCGGAGATACCAGAACTAGGAAGGAGTCCACTGGGGAGATGCTAGGAATACACAATAACTGTGAGAGATCTGTATTTGCAGTGAAACTACTTTCAATATAATAAAACTTGTATCCAAATTATTTTTTTCTATTTGGATTTGCAATGCACCAATATCCAAGGTCTAATCTGAGCCCCTTTGTTTTGCCTTCATATGAGGAAAGAATAAAGGGGATTATCGTTTATACTACAGTTTACTGGTT